ACACCCATGCGTCCGTCGCCGCGGAGACCAGCGTCCGTCTCGGCCAGATTTAGTGATGCCGTCGACCGCCGAGCCGGGGGCCCTCGGCGTCATAGAGGGGTCACGTGGCGTGACATGCGCATGGCATCGGACATCGACACGTGGGTGTGTACTTCCTAGGGCTCCAGCTACCCTGAGAAGGTGGTTGGGGAGGGTGCCAGGGGGGTCTAACCACCTTCTGAGGATATGGTTGGAGCCCTAGAGATTAAAATGGGGAGACCTCCCAGTTTGGTTTCCTGGAAGGTTCGGGAAATAGACCAGTGTACTCCAGGGCCAAGGAGTCTCCCTATCACACATCCATGTAGTCAGTTCTCAGGGGACCAGTTCCAGTGAGAAGATGGCAACACTTCCCAGTTGGTCTTCTACCGGTCTGTTGGAGGTCTTTGTGGCCGAACTTTGTCGCAGTTGATGACCTGCTGGAGATGATGATTCTTCATGTCCATCTTAAAGCTTTGGATTAACTTGCTGGGAGAAGCGGAAGGCATCGTTTAGGGAGAAACGGTGATCCAATCCATCAAACATCACCGGCCCCCAGCGCGTGCGTGCACCGAATTAGCGGTGTATCTTTTTTTCACCGGCAGGCATGAGCCTACCAAATAAATATGGCCTTCCTTTGACTATGTCTGTTTGCTGATGGTAGAGGCTTTCAAGTGGAATATCGTTCGTAGGAAGATTGCACGGAATGGTTTGGGTTTGAAGGCTCTGCTTGTGCTGTTTCCATGCCACCCTCACCCTTGTAAAAAACCAGAGTGTGGTATTCGAATCGGCGCTCCAGCAAGAGCTATCCTAATCCTCATCGTCGTCATCATTGGCTTTCACTTTCCGCTTCCTCCCTTTGGGTTTATCTGCAGTGGCCGGCGGCTTCTCACCGTTGCCAGACAAGTTCTCCTGTCGAAACAGGCTTCGACCAACTCATCGACCAACTGCAAGGCTGTCGACTCGGAATGTCCCTTTGAAGGGCCCATGCGGAACTAACTAGAGCGATATGAAATGAGGTGTGCTCCAAAGTCTTCCTCCTGAAATTACACCACCGTAGACCCCAAACAGTTTGTGTCTTTCGAATCGGAACACTCTGCAACTAGAGCCTGCGACGTCCAGAGCTGGGAGACAAAGGATTGCAAGGCAGAGACGGCCACAGCAGTCCAGAGCTGGGAGACAAATGTAGACACAGGGAGACAAATGTAAAGGATTAGGCGGACAGCAGTCCAGAGCTGGGAAGAAGAGGAGACAAATGAAAGGAAGCGGGAGACAAGACAGCCGGGAACCCGACCGCAAGCACCCAGCCTGGGAGACAAATGAAAAGAACTGGGAGACAAGTGAAAAGAAGTGGGAGACAAATGAAAGGA